AGCGTCTCCACCATACACACAAAAGACGGGAATAACCCCAACAGCACAGGTCCACGTAAATAATTAGGCAGTGGTAAAACTTATTATGACCTTTGTCTTGAATATATTTAGCTATAAATTTTTATAATTTAATTTTTAGTAATATTTGTAACAACCAGCTTGCAAAATTCCTGACAACATGGCATTCTGTCCTTGTGCCCTGTGGACCAGCTCCAACACGCCATTTATTTGTGAGACCTGCCCTCCCCTCCAGCTGCCTCACATCTCAGCAAACAGGCAGTCCCTGGGTTACCAATGAAATAGTTCTGTAAATTGGTTCTTAATTGAATTTGTATGTAAGTTGAAACAGGTATATTTACCTATTACCTGTAATAGTTGGTGCATAAATGCAAGTTGCATGTCAGTCACATGTTGAACTAAAGGACTTACTGTAATGTCTTCCTTTTGTAAGTGCTAGTTGTATGTAAGTCAAGTGTTTGTAACTCAGAGACTGCTTGTATTATCACAGTTGAGGCAGAGCAGGCAAACTTTTCCTAAGTTGCTTGGCCACAGTGACCAGCATTGTAGGATTTAAAAGCAACTGGGTACTGGCGCACTTAGTACTGTGCTCAGTGGAGCCTTGTGTATAAATGAAGGAATGCTTAGGGGAGCACTTGGAGAGTTCTAAACAGCAGTCACTCGGCCGGCACGGTGGCTCACCCCTGTAATCCTAGCACTCTGTGAGGGCAAGGTGGGTACATTGCTTGAGCTTTGGAGTTTGAGAACAGCCCGAGCAAGAACAAGACCCTATGTCTACTAAATATAGAAAAACTAGCTGGTCGTCATGGTGGGTGCCTATAGGCCCAGCTACTTGGGAAGCTGAGGCAAGAGGATCTCTTGAGCTCAAGAAATTGAGGTTGCTGTGAGCTAGGATGCTACGGCACTCTACCCAGGATGATAGAGTCTGTCTTTAAAAATAAATAAACAACAATCATTGGTATTGGCTTTATTCCTTATCTGAAAGGATTAGAAGTCCAGGGGATAGGCTGGTGAAATGAGAAATGTTTGCTCACACACAGGAGTTTCTGTTTCTAGATCAACTCCGGGAACCTCACGGTATCAACAACCTGGAGGACTCAGGTGGGAGCTGGGGCTCCTACCTTCCAGCGTGGGCCTGTCCTGGGGTCACAAGGATACACAAAGTTAAATGAATTAAGGAACAAGATGTGCTTAACACCATCTCACAAAAGTTCTTTAGACAGATAGTAGTGATGGTTGCACAATAGTGTGAATGTACTTAATGCTATAGAACTATACACTTACAATGGTTCGGATGGATAATTTTATATTATGTATGTTTCACAATTTAAAAAGAACTCATCGGGTGGCGCCTGTGGCTCAAGGGAGTAGGGTGCCGGCCCCACATGCCAGAGGTGGTGGGTTCAAACCCAGCCCCGGCCAAAAACTGCGCAAAAAAACAACAACAACAACAACAACAACTCATCTTGGCCTGAAATGAACGCTAGCTGAGAGGTTTTGATTTCTTTGACCATAAAGAAGTATCAGCAGGCTAAGAACAAAGGCATTCTTCTCAAGAAGCACACAGTAAGCCACTGTGTGGTTGGACCATAGTCTCCGTGAAGCAGGGGATACTTAAGAGACATACAGATCATTTCCAGTTTTGTGCTTTGGGTTCTCTTGGTTTCATTATTTACATCAAGCTTTAGAGAAACCGATTTACACACTGGTTTTGTCTTGAATTCCCTTCCTTTGCTACACAACGAATCTTCTTATAATCTATCAAAATTTAACCCTGTCATTTTCCCAGCTGCTAGTTTAAAAATAAATATCCTGGATATAAAGACAAATGTGTTTAACAGGTGCCACCATCCCACTGAGGGTTCCACCACTCGCAGGCATTTGAGACACACCAGAGCCAGCTGTTCTCACTGTCCTTCATCTGTAGTCAGCCCTCTAAAGGGTTGTCATTCAATCTCTGAGAACTGAGACCAAAAGTCTCTCCCCTTTTAGGGCAGTGAAACTATTCTGTATGATACTACAGTGATGGATACATTTCATTATACGTATGTCCTAACCCAAGAATGCACAATGCCAAAAGTGAGCCTTAATGGCAACTTACGGGCTTTGGGTGGCAATGATGTGTCAAAGTAGGTTCATCAGTTCTAACAAATGCACCGCTCTGGTGGGGGATGTTGATAATGAGGGAGGCCGGGGGTACATGAGAATTTTTGTACCTTCTGCTCAATTTTGCTGTGAATCAAAACTGCTCTAACAAGTAAAGTCTATTTTTAAAATGGCTCTCCTTTTTCCCCAATTTGAGTTCATTAACAAAGAAAGCACTATGTTTAATTCAAATGTTAAGAAGACAGACACCTACAAAATACTTTCAAGTAAAAAAATTAATGAGCCAAGTTCACATCTAGCTCATTGGTTGTTTTCTGTCAACCAGCTGTCCCTGCCTGGTCCACAGCTAACCAAGACTCCCTGCTCCCGCCTCTAGGAACTCAGAAAACTAGAAGAAGACTGAAGTTCACGACACTGACATCATCCTGCTGGTGTTCTGAACATCCAGGCTGCCTTGCCAAGCCAGCCCACAAACCAAGTTCACCGTGCACGGTATTTCATATAATGGGGATTGGGGAGGGGGGTCACATAGATACCAGGCAATAAGCAAAATGACTCCAATAATTTCTCCAAGCAGGACGATGTGTCTATAGTCACTTACACGAACACTATTTCTACTCCAGCATTCTAGACTCTCTGGAGTTTGCCTTTATTTAAATGTCTCTAGTTATCTGAAATAACCACAAATCATTTTTATACAGATCTAGTTTATTAAATAAAGGAAAACAAGGTTTATGCACATATTGCAACAAGTTTAAATAAAGAGCTTAAAGTATAAAGCCTTTATGACAAATTTCTACTCTTCATATAATGTATACTATTTCTAGCATGGGAATAAATATGGCGAACAGGAGTTTTGTTAATATTATGGATTGACAACATTTAACATCAATGATTACACAAATCATAAGCAAAAATCAGAAGAAACCCTTTCTTCAACTTGGTTATAGAAGCTAAACATCCTTTTGTCACCTTTAAGCAATATCCAAAGGTAGGATGGACTTGGTAGCCACAGCTCTGAAAGCAAGGAGACCAAGTCTCCCAATTCTTTAAGTTGTTTTGTGGTTAGAAGCTTCAACAATGGCATTAACTCTTTCAAGAAACAGAAAAAGCAGGTTAAGAAAAAGAGCAAGTTAAGACCCTGGTCTTTAAGGCACTTCATTAATCTACATTGAAGAAATATTCTATTTTTGTCTTAAAAGAAGCTTAAGTTTTACATGAGAGGTCTGAATTTCTTTTCATCTTGGTGTGAACATGTACATAATTTGAACAAATTGGTAATAATGAACACTGTCTGACATTCATTCTTTATACAGTCTTTAAAATGAACTTGCTTCTACTGTTATGTTTCCTACATTTAAAGAGTGGTTCCTAAACATCCTTTAAATTCAAAGAACTCAAAAGTGAAAGCCTCTCTACAGAAAGTCCTTATCACATTAGTGGAATGTTTGTGTGAGAAGGCAAAAAAATCTAAGTCTAAGGGGTGGTTCAGTCCCATGAATGAGCTCAGTCCCACGAATATGCTCTATCGCCACCTAGAGGCACCTAAGGAGAGGTGGACTTTCATCTGAGTCTTACAGGGGTCCTCAAACTTTTTAAACAGGGGGCCAGTTCACTGTCCCTCAGACCGTTGGAGGGCCGGACTGCAGACCCCAGGACGAGTTGGCTGCTAAGCAGGACAGGCAGCGGCGGCAAAAACGCTCAGGATAAATGTCCTCAGCGGGCCACATGTGGCCCGTGGGGTGTAGTTTGAGGATGCCTGCACCCATTAATACCTACAGGTTGCCCCCCAACCCTTCTTTCTTCCTCTCCTTTTAATGATTTTTGTCTTAGTGCTTTTGGAAATAAAAAGGAAATCTCAAGGAAGAAGGCAAAGTGAAAATGGCTGGGAGGAAAAACTGCCCTATCCCTAAGAAACACATACATGCCTTTCCTTCTGTTTCATTAAAGGAAGGAGCCAGAGGGGCTGGGCAAACTGGCAATACCGTAGAAGTGGTCTGGCCTCTGAAGCCCCAGCTAGAATGTGTTAATGTCCTTCTCAAAGGGTAGAACGAGAAAGACACCCGAGTAAATATATCCCGTTTCTTAGGGCTGGCTTCCAGAAGTGTAAAGTTCTCAGGGCTCTCACAGTCACCTTTTGTTTTCAAAAGAACAAGGCAATGACAATAATGGAGAATGATTTATCGTGTCTTTAGTAAAAAGAAAAATATCATGTACCTCTTGTCCAAATAGATAAACAGATATACTAAAGAAATCATTTTTGAAATTTTAAGCAGGCAATTTCCATCCAAACTAGGAAGTCCAAAACAGGAAATATGTTAACACATAGGACATGAACTAAACTAAAAACCGGAAATCTAAAAACATCAACTCCTCCTCTTCAATTCAATTAAAAACATTCTGCCAAGGACAATGTATCAAATCCTTCAACAGTGCTCTTTCTTTAACAAAGAGCTTTCCTCATAATTACGATGAGAAGCTCCTAATACAACTCTCTTCTATATACACAGACTGTTTATTGAGAAATTGCAGCTGTATACAGCATGATGTAAACATATTTACCTTTCAAGTCAAGGTGCAGCAACTACTATTTCTTCTTCATTTGACCCTCTACATCAACAGATATGCATGTCCATTTTACAAACTGAGAAACAAACTTTGCTAAAAACAAACTTTGCACAGTGGCTCACACCTGTAATCCTAGCACTTTGGGAGGCTGAGGCCGGAGGATCACTTTAGCCCAGAAGTTGAAGACCAGCCTGAGTAACATAGCAAGATCCTGTCTCTACAAAAGAAAAAAACCCAGAAAAATTGGCTGGGTTTGGTGGCACACACCTGTCGTCCCAGCTACTAGTGAAGCTGAGGCAGGAGTATCACTTGAGCCCAGGAGTTTGAGTTTGCAGTGAGCTATGATGATGCCACTGTACCCTAAACTGGGCGACAGAACAAGAGCCTGTCTTGAAAACAAACAAAACAACAAGAAAAAACACACACACACAAAACAAAAGCACAGAGTTAATTGTTAACATAACCTAAGACAGAATCTAAGCTGCTTGAAAATACCTCCCCATAACACAGACCTTGCAACCTTAAAAGGCAACACACAACATCACCATGAATTCAGATACTGGTACAGTGTAACAATTCCTCACAAAGGTTAAGTCCTCAATGATTTAAAATCACTTATTATAAGTGAAAGATCCTGCCAAAATAGGAAATTATAAGCAGTGCAATATTCCAAGGATCTATTTCCTGCACTGTTTTATACCTGGGGTTGAAAAGTCCAGGTTTCTATTCACATTTCTGCTGATAAGAAGCAAAAATTCCCAAGAGTTCAGAACAGTAATACCCTCTTGGAGACTCCATTCTACCATTCCAATGAGCTTCTGTAGAGCGGTCTGAGATACTCAGCTACAAGCTGGATGCCCCAGGGTGACTGTCCCTGAAGAAACTAGTACATAGCTCCAGATTTTCTTGCAAGTTTTCTATAGCAAGAGACAAGCATTTCATATCTTTGATGTCAAAGAGTGCTTCAGTGGTAAAGACTAGAGTTTGGACGTTACAGTTTATGCCATTAAACTTTTGGTGAAGAACATCAATGCCGACACACAGCGATCTGAGCCCAGTCTTCATCTGTCACTCACACCCTGTAATGTGTGATGAGCCAAGCAGTGAGAAGCAGAGTGAAACCCAGGAAGCTTTACTGTTTCAGAAGGTAGCATTTTCAGAGGCGTGTCTCATGCAGCCTTGTCTGGTCACAAATCCAGTTTCTTCAGCTGCTCATATGTCACAAAGAACTGCCGTTATGGGTTAAGAAAATGCTATCTTAACAACTCTACTGTATAACAATAGACGTACAAATAGTAGACCTAGTAACAAGTATGTCCAGAGTAACCCACGCCATGGACGTCATTAAATAGGAGGAGCTCTATCCTTAACCACATCAAATTATCTCCCTGTAAGCACTCCCCAGGTAAGCTTAGACCTGAAAGATCATAGTCAAGATATAGAGCTCCCCAGCCTCTTTGGAGATGACACCCACACTGATTTGCCTGTGCGGTTTTGCTGTGATGGGAAGACTTTCCAGAACAGTAAACTTCTGCCTGTGTGAGAGGGAGTTAGCAAGCCCTGGAGGCACTCCTCAAGGGTTCCCGCCAGGCAGCCTTCCTTGGGAGAGAGGAGCAGACACAGAGTAACAAGAGGAGGGCAGAAACCAACAGTCTGCACCTTTGCTGGTAATGAACTGCTACTACTTCCCTTCCCCAATCAGCCTGTTACGGAGCTGCAAACAAGCATTCTTACCCAGGGTGGCTGAGACTATAAAGTCAGCTCTTGGAGCTGCAGACAAGCATTCTTACCCAGGGTGGCTGAGACTATAAAGTCAGCTCTTATTCCCTCTAAAATATCCTCAGCTTCTAGAACACAATCTGGCAAAGTTTTATTGGTATCATTACCTTTTGATAACATCACAATTAAACTAAGATCTAAGAAGGCCAGGCATGGTGGTTCAGAGCTGTAACCCCAGCACTTTGGGAGGGTGAGGCAGGTGGATTGCTTGTGCTCAGGAGTTTGAGACCAGCCTGAGCAAGAGCGAGAACCTGTCTTTACTAAAATTAGCCCACCTACTAAAATTAGCCAGGCATTGTGGTGGGTGCCTGTAGTTCTAGCTACTCAGGAGGCTAAGGCATTGAGGATTGCTTAAGCCCAAGAGTTTGAGCTATGATGACGCCATGGCACTCTTCCCAGGGTAAGTGAGATGCTGTCTCAAAAAAATAAAAGCCTAAAATTTACAGGGTCTAGCACAGAGCTTTATATTTCCTAAAAAAGAAACTGAATAGGGTGGCACCGGTGGCTCAAAGGAGTAGGGTGCTGGCCGCATATGCCAAAGGGGGCGGGTTCAAACCCAGCCCCAGCCAAAAAAACTGCAAAAAAAAAAAGAAACTGAATAAGTTATTTCTTAGAACCGGAGGAACTCAGAAAAGTACCTATTTCTAAATCCTAAGTACTAACATGATAGTTTATACACATACAAACAGTATACTTTAGCTACAACTTTTTCCAGATCGATTCCAACAGAAAAGGATACAATGATATTCCAAGGACCAAGTCTCAACCAATTTGGCCAAAATCCTTTATATAGAGCAAAAAATCCTTCATTCTTCCATGTCTGTTAAAAGAAGGAAAAAAAAAAAGAAGAGTCAAGTTCCAAATTTCTTTTTTTAAGAGACAGAGTCTCACTTTGTCACCCTTGTTAGAGTGCTGTGACATCATAGCTCACAACAATCTCCAACTCTGGGGTTTAGGTGATTCACTTGCCTCAGCCTCCCAAGTAGCTGGGACCATAGGCGCCCACCACAACGCCCAGCTATCCTTTTTTTGCTGCAGTTTGCCCGGGGCCAGGTTTGAACCCATCACCCTTGGTACATGGGGCTAGCACCCTACTCACTAAGCCACAGGCACCGCCCAACTTCCAACTCTCTAATTTGACAAATACATGTATATTAGTAATTACTGGACAGATTGATCTGTACTGCTAAAAAATAAAGTCCTGTTTAGAAGGACTTAAGAAATCTTTGCCCTCGGCTCAGCGCCCATAGCACACTGGTTACAGTGCCAGTCATACACACCGAAGGTGGCAGGTTTGAACCTGGCCTGAGCCAGCTAAGCAACAATGACAACTGCAACAAAAAAATAGGTGGGCATTGTGGTGGGTGCCTGTAGTCCCAGCTACTTGGGAGGCTGAGGCAAGAGAATCGTTTGAACTCAAGAGTTTGAGGTTGTTGTGAGCTGTGACGCCACAGGACTCTACTGAGGGCGACATAATGAGACTCTGTCTCAACAACAACAAAAAAAGAAATCTTTGCCCTTTCTTTGTCCTATAAAGGCTTCTGCATAGATAGAGGACTAAGGCTCCATGCCAAAGAACCCCACACAAACAGGTGAATAAACCCCATGGAAGGCAGAGGAGTAGGAAGTTAGATTGAAATCCAGTTAGGGTCTTTTGCTTATATCCTGTTTGGGCTTCTAAATAGGTCAGAAATGAAGCAATGTGGCAAGGATGTCATTGAGAGCACCATTAACACCTTACGTTGTTGGGTGGATAAGTATGGTTAAGTATATATTTGCTTCCTTAAGGCAACAATTGAAGTATAAAATGCGCTAGCATCATACTGAAGAACAGAAACCACAAAAAGTGGTCCCTAATATTCAGCTCCCGGCAATGTAGGAGGGGAGATAGTTAAAAACTTTCAACCACTCGCAAACAGCGAGTCCAATTATTTAAGCTGAGAATTATAGCAAGGTTGACGTGTTCCTCTGAAAAAAATGTTTTGAATGTTCTTTCCAATTAGACTCAATAGGAAGAAAGTTTATTTTTAAAAGAGAAACAGTTTCACTGTTTCCACTCAAGAGTAATAGTACTATTTTCTCACCCTTCATAGCAGAGTGGAAATATAAAAAAAGCAAACTTTTGTTTTTAAATATTCATCTATATATTTATAAAAGTTAACCCCAATGTGGCAAAAATTGTATACAGTATGTACATCTCAGGGGTTTAAAGGATCACCCATCTTAGTTTTAATAGCTCTCAAAATGTAGGTCAAAAAATATGTAATTCACACCCCTACACAGACATTCACTCTCACCTGTAACAAGCAATCCAGGGTACCTGAGTAGCCAGAGCACGTGCCATCTCGAAGGACTCTCTGATTCATCATACGTGTTCTCACAACATCAACAGGGTTTGAGGCCAAGGCCCCTGCCAGACCACAGGTGAAACTTGAGCTGCGAAGAAGGTATCATTGGAAAAGAAAAAGTTAACCACCCCTGAGCTACAACCATCATCATCAAAGCAAAAAGTTAACCATCCCTGAGCTACAATAACCACCAAAGGCAGAAACAGCCTCCTCCCAAAACTATGTTAAAATAGCATGTAATGACATGAAATGTACCAAGAATAAGGTCCATATTCTGAGAACGGAATATACTTCTGAAACATCAGAACTGATTACACTGGTTTATAAATACCAGACCCAGCTAAGAATGCCTTTGGGGTTCTGCAATGTCCGAGAATCATAGAGGAACATCCTCCAAAGATGATCTACTTATCTGTAAGTAGGCTCCTTCTAGCCATATCATAATCATGTACTTAGAGATCAAAGAAAAAGCTCTCCTTTCTATAATGCCCACTAGGGGGTCTAAGGTTCTACTACACTTTGTCTCACACGGCTACCACAGACCTCAACTGGTATCAGTTAACTCAGAGCAAGGATTCTCAGCCTCAGCTCTATCAATACTCCTTGTTGTGGAGGTAGGTCCTATGCCCTCTAAGATGGTTAAGCGGCATCCCTAGCCTCTACCCAACCTGCTATATGCCAGTAAGACTCCCCCTCATTGTGATAATCAGAACAGTTTCCATATGTTGCCCCAAAATGGATTAAATAAATGATGACACATCCACATGATGTGATAATCTGTAGCTATTAAAAATACATAAAGTTGGCTCGGTGCCTGTGGCTCAAGTGGCTAAGGCGCCAGCCACATACACCTAAGGTGGCGGGTTCGAATCCAGCCTGGGCCCGCCAAACAACAATGATGGCTACAACTGAAAAAAAAATAGCCAGGCATTGTGGCAGGCACCTGTGGTCCCAGCTACTTGGGAGGTGGAGACAGAAGACTTGCTTGAGCCCAGGAGTTGGAGGTTGCTGTGAGCTGTGATGCCACAGCACTCTACCCAGGGGGACAGCTTGAGGTTCTGTCTCAAAAAAAAAAAAAAAAATACATAAAGTTAGCTGGGTGTGGTGGCTCATGGCAATAATTCTGGGAGGCTGCGGAGGGAGAATCACTTGAGGTCTGAAGTTTGAGACCAGCCTGAGCAAGAGTGAGACCCATCTCTACAAAAAGAGAAAAATTAGCCAGATGTTGTGGTAATCCCTGCAGTCCCAGCTACTCAGGAGGCTGAGGCAAGATGATCACTCAAACCCAGGAGTTTGAGGTTGCTGTGAGCTATGTTGGGGCCACGGCACTCTAACCTGGGGCAACAGAGAAAGACTCTGCCTCAAAAAAAATTGTTTTTTCCGAAGTTGGGCACAAGTCTGAGAAGCAAACAAACAAAAAAAAGTTTTTAAATCAAACAATAAATAAATTAAGTCTGTAAGGACTGACATAGAATGATATTGTGAATATATTATTAAATTTTGAAAAGCAAATAAAAGAAAGCAAAGCAGGCTCGGCACCCATAGCACAGTGGTTACAGTGCCAGCCACATACACCGAGGGTGGTGGGTTCGAACCCAGCCTGGGCCAGCTAAACAATGACAACGGCAACAAAAAATTGTTGGGCATTGTGGCACGCACCTATAGTCCCAGCTACTTGGGAGGCTGAGGCAAGAGAATTGCTTAAGCCCAAGAGCTTGAGGTCACTGTGGGCTATGATACCACAGCATTCTATCAAGGGTGGCACAGTGAGACTCTGTCTCAAAAAGAAAGAAAGAAAGAAAGCAAAGCATGCGCTTATTTGTATAATAAAGTATATATTTGTATATACATAGAAGATGCCTGGAAGGGACATAGCAAACTGCCAACAACAGCTACCTAGATAGAGCAGTAAGGACCTTTATACCCTGTTCACTTCACGTCTGTATTGTAATTTTTCAAATAGAATAATACTTTTATAATAAACTTTCTTTAAAATTTCTATAAGTTGGTACCAATTTTCCATCCTGAACTCATGCATACCTAAAATACTAATTTTTAAAAATCTATAAACATACAGAAAATGGGTATATACGGTGTCTCCCATCAGGCCGGAGAGAATCAGATGCTTCTTGGTGAAGTCATAGACCGGCAGCTCCACGCCGACAACAATAGCAGCCCTCTGAGCGGTAAGGGACACGCCCTGGGTAAAAATACTAATAATAGTAAAAATATTCCCATATGCCTCTGTAGAAGAAGCCTTGCATATGTGTAAAAGTTCTATTCCACAAACTATGACCACTTTTCACGTTTTCCTACTTGTAGACAGAAATATAGATTAACAGAAAGAAAAAGACCACAGGGCAAGAACTCAAAAGCTCTGAAGTCTAATTCTGATGCTGGCCCTAACTGTACAACCTTGAGCCGGACCGTGGCCAGGAGGAGTCGCGTCCCAGAGCCTCACGTTTCCTTGTACAAGCTGAGGGATCATACTGGATGATCTTCAGGCTCGATTTTATGAACTGATAAGTCAGTAGAATACTCGGAAATAGCACTCGGCACCAGCATTTGCCTAATAACACAGACTTCACTTAAGAGCCATGGAACCATATAAATCAAAGCACCCAATGGAACTGTAACCTAGAAACCTTCTCCAGAAGAATCTGGGAGGCAGGAGAACAAATGATCAAACAAAATAAAAAGTGCTCAAAAATTTAAACATCAGGGCGGTGCCTGTGGCTCACAGGAGTAGGGTGCTGGCCCCACTTGCCAGAGGTGGTGGGTTCAAACCCAGCCCCGGCCAAAAACTGCAAAATAATAATAATAATAAAATTAAAACTTAAACATCACAGAACTTCTTATACATAAATTACCCAAAAAGTACTTTAAACTCATGACATATTCCTTATACTCCATTTTACAGATAGGAAATTAAGGAAGAAGATATTTTCATGGACAGATTCTTTTTCCTTTACTTTTTCCTTTACTTCCTTTACTTTTCGCCATTCTTTTTCCTTTACTTTGTTAGGCCACTTGGATTAAAGTAAAGGGCTGGAAGAGGGAAAAATGAATTCAAAAAAGGAAAAAAGAACTAAGTCAGTGGATCCATTCGTCAAGCTTACCTTCCACAGTCCTCTTGTTCCCTCCTGCTGGTAAATGTTAATGAAGTTGCCGATCATTCCCCCTTGAATGGTGTTGTTTTGTGCTTGCATCCGTATCTAGAGAATATTTTAAAGACCAATGTGAGATGGAAACTAGTACACACCCCCAGGTATAACTGAAAATCATTCAGTCTGTGGCTTACTAACCATTAATAGAAAAAAATTATAATATAAATATTACTATGATTCTACTTTGAAATGTCCTCAGTAGAGTAAAAATGTATAAGGATTAGTCTTAGGAGCTCTGAAATATCCAAAAAGCTCTAGCAGAGACCCAAGAGTCCCACCTACAGCAGTTCATGTCAAAAGAGAAATTAATTTCTTTTAAAAACTCTTTCAGAAGGACAGAAAATAGTATATTTCCCTATAGGTTAATCTGTAGGAAGGAGAGAAAACGATGATAACTTCAAAAGAGTTAATATAACGAATAAGAATTATCCAGAATACTTGGCAGCACAAAGCCCAGGCAAGCATAGCTCTTATATTAGCTGCTCCAAGCATCTACTGTTTCTAATCAGCTGAACCAAAAGATATGCAGGCCAGCTGGCCATGTGATGGCCACATGGCCACATGACACCCGTTACACTCTGTTATACTTGAATTTACTAGTCAATCCACATCGCTGTGATTATAACAAGTATTTGCATTTTTAAGAATGAAGGAATTTGCACTATAAAGCTGGAGTTTTATTTTTGTTTAGGAAGCAAATACAGGGTATTTTACAGCTAACTTCTAAAGGAAACTCTCACTACACTAAAATGAGAAAATAAACTAAGATAAGGGAACTGCCTTGCCATAAGCCTTGTGATGTTTAAGAAACATATAGTAGTATGGGCTTCTTTCTCTAGCTTCCCTACCCCAACACAGGGTAAACTTACGGCAAAAGTACCTTATACTTCCTCACACTTAGGGTACCTTCACTATAGTGCCCTTGTTTAGCATACCCAACACACTGCAGTTTTATGCTTATCAAAATCATCAATGAGACTGAAGGCTCTCTAAGGCAAGCTCTTTGTCTTACTCGTTTTTGGATTCCAAGCATATAGTACACCAACTGGTACAAGATTAGAACAGTGATTTTCAATTGGTGTGCCATGAGAGGATCTTAGGTGTGCTATGAAAAAAAAATTTTTTTTTTTTTTGAGACAGAGTCTCATTTTGTCACCCTAGGTAGATTACTGTGGCATCACAGCTCACAGCAACCTCAAACTCTTGGACTTAAGCGATTCTCTTGCCTCAGCCTCCCAAGTAGCTGGACCTACACGTGCCCATCACAACGCCCAGCTATTTTTTTGTTGCAGTTGTCATTGTTTTAGCTGGGCCAGGCCGGGTTTGTACCCGCCACCCTTGGTGTATGTGGCCGGCACCCTACCCACTGAGCTATGGGTGCTGCCCTACTGTGAAAAAATTTAAAGATCATTAATTAAATTGTTTTTGAAAGAAGTTCAAAGCGCAGTAAGTGTATCTTTACTCTTTTTTTTTTGATCAACATAATTTAAGCATGGCATGGAAGTTTAACCATAGGTTCAAGTGTGCTGTGAGATAAAAAGGGTGAAAAACACTGACAAGATAGAATACTAATTAATGGTGGAGGAGGAATACTCTTAGAAGGCTCAAGAAGTAACTCGTGGCTTGGCGCCTGTGGCTCAAGTGGCTAAGGCGCCAGCCACATACACCCAAGGTGGCGGGTTCGAATCCAGCCTGGGCCCGCCAAACAACAATGACGGCT